CATGCCCTGGTCACAATGAGAAAGGCATTCACTCATTCAGTGTGGTGCTAGCTGATCAGAATGAACAAACACTGATAGAAAATCTTCACCTACAGGCCAGGAATCAGATAGTCCCATCCGGACCACATACACGGGGCAGGTGCGAGGCAGTTTCGTCCATGTGAAGGATCAAGTGGGAGTCTATAGCTTCCTGGGAATTCCTTTTGCCAAGCCACCTGTAGGACCACTGCGGTTTGCACCCCCTGAGTCCCCTGAACCATGGAGTGGTGTGAGAGATGGGACATCACAACCAGCCATGTAAGTCCTGGGGCCCAAGAGGCTGGAGTGAACAGGTAAACTGAACTCTGGACCACACTGTAGTTCTTCCTCCATCTCAGCCCCACAGCAGTTTTCTCTGTGTCAGGGAGAGTCTCCCATGCATTTTTCTGATGCATGTGCCAAGATCTAGAGGAAGCAACCTTTCCCGGCTCTTGAGTCAGAGTCTGGCCCCCATAAGAATTTAGATACTACAGAAAGGAGCCAAGACAAATTGACAAATTGTTTCTATGTTCAGACTATGCAAGTATCTCTGCCATGATGGTAGGCATCTCTGGGCAGGAGTCAGTGTAACCTGTTAGGCAGTAGGAACCCCTGAGTCAATTAGTAGACACTGCAGGTCCCTGGAAGGGGCAGTGGTGGGTCTTTGGCAATAACACCCTCCACAGTCAACTCTTATAACCAATAAGGCCAAGTGCCAGTGACCAAAGACCAAGTATATGTGCTTCCATATGGAGACTGTAGAGGAGTTTTCCTGAGAGCCTGAGCAGGGGATGAATGATGTTCCACTGCCCTATGGGACAGTACTGTTCATTCATTCATATAGTCCCTTTGTGGGCACAACACCCTAATAACCATGTATCTTACCTTCATTTTCTGATACTGACAAAAGCAACTGAGGGGTGAAGGTTGTATTATAGGACACAATTCTAGGTTATATTTCATCCTGGGGGGAGACAGAGCAGCAAAAGCTCAAGGAGCTGATCACGTCACATCCATAATCAGAACAGAAAGTAAAGAATGTGTGGATGCCTGGTCATGCTCAGCTCACCTTCTGTACTCCTAAACAGTTCAGAAGCCCATTCCTAGGGAATAGTGCCACCCACAGTGGGTAGGTCTTACCACCTCAGTTAAAGTAATTAAGATACCCCCACTAGCATGCCCACAACCAATTTGGGCTAGGCAATCCCTCATTCAGATTCTCCCCCCAGGAGATTCTAAATTGTGTAACTCATTAGTCACAACTAACCATCACCACAGGTGCTAAGGAGTACAAGGAGAAGTGCTGAATGTCACCTCATACACACACAATCATTTTCAAAGAGAGTCCCAGAAGTCTCCATAAACCAGTCTCAGGAAGAATACATCCAGGCTCACATACAAATAGACCTGGATGGAAGTCTGGGCTCCATCCCACCTTCCACAGAACTGGTGCCCTTTACTTTTGTGGGAAGGAACTGGAAAGAAGGATCCAGTATAGCATCATGGAGAGCAGCAGCTGAAGGTGTCTGAGAGTAAACCCAGACTCAGACCTGGTCTTGGTCACCACACATCTCTTGGTAAAACTTCCTTCCACCATCACCAGGTGTCTACAAAATTCTGATATGATGAGTTCAGAGGGTCTGAAGAAGATGAATCTGATCATGCCTCCCACCCCCATGTCTGAGGACTGCCTATATCTCAACATCTACACACCAACCCATGCCCATGAAGGCTCTAACCTGCCTGTGAGTATCAGGCTGTGGTCAGTGGAAAGGGGATTTCGTCTGTTGGTTGATTAGAAGGGACAAAAGCAACCTGAGCCCCTTTGTAAGGTAGACCCTGATAAATAGCCTTACTCTGTTGGGTTCAAGAAAGACATCTTAGCCATGATGAGCAGCTGAAACCTTGGTATAGGGCACAGAACACTGGAGATCTGAGAGGTCAGAGACTCTAATTAAATCAGGACTCACTATCAACTTGAGCCTTGCACAGCAACTCAGGTGCTCAAGACTGAACACTTAGGGTACTTAAATTTCTAGATATGGATTATCTGTTGTAGCATGAAATATGATGATGTGTGACTGGAGAGATGGCTCAGCAGTGAAGAGCACTGAGTGCTCTTGCAGAGGACTTGGGTTAGAGTCTCAGAACACACATGGTGGCTGCAAACCGTCCTTAACTCCAGTTCCAGGGGAACCTGAAGCCCTCTTCTATCGGCATTGCATGACAGGGGTACACTCACGTACGTGCAGGCAATACACTCATACACATAAAATTCAAATAATAAGTAAAATAAAATAAAGAAATATTATGCTTTTCACAAAAAACAGGAGAGACACCCACGGATACTCCTCTTTCCTTCCA